CCCCCCCCCCCCCCCCATGCCCCGCCCCTTTTTGGCATCTTTGAACTCGTTTGATCTGTTTGATGGCAATGCATTTGATACAACAGCAGGATAGAGTATTGAGTAGATAGGACCACCTTATATGACCTTAGTATGAGTCTTCGTTTGTTCTTATTTGCTTTTTGGATTACAAAACTGCTCCCATATGGGCTAGATTAGGAGAAAATTATGAATTCATAAGTGAGAGACAAGAACATTATTGGTATGAGGTCTTTTAGGTGAGTTCGAAAGCCAAGACATGACGACTTGTACTCAAAGGAGAATATTATATCATTGTGGAGATATGTGGAGGATCATTGTTACTAACAATTAGTATCAAAATCATGTCCATGATTTAGTTGGGTAAAGAGAATCCTCAAGTGTCAAACAAATAAATAGGTGAGCCTCAAAGAGACAGTCATGGTTGAAAGACTCACGGTATGCTCCAGAGAAAAGGAATTGGCCTAGATATGAGCTAAGACGGATAGAAGACTATTTAAAGAGAAGTTTGGTAGTACTTCATTCAAGGGGTGAATTGTTGGGAGTGTGACCACAGTCTTACATTGGTTGGATAAGGGGAAGATTAGGAGCATAAAAGTGATTGGTATGATATCTTTTGAGTAACATCAAAAGTAAAACCATAATGCCGAAAGTAGACAAGAGCATATTAGAGATATGTGAAGGGTTGTACTCAATGTTTCATTGAAAGTCCAAAATAAACCAATGTAGTTGTTCTTGAAATGATATTTTAGGTAATACAGGTTTGGTAATCCCAAAGTACTGGATATGTTAATTTTTCTCTAACCATTAGGTGCACAATTAATGTTACTTTACTCAAGTCTTCAATGTTACTCAGATTCATTTTGAAGAAAACTAATGTCTGCTACTTGATAATTAATACTAGTTAAAGAACTCGTGATATGTAGATACTTTAACGGCGGATCCATAGTTGCTGTTGTTTAAATAAGATGAAATTTATCTTTAGTCTGAAGGAAAACAATATCGAAACATATAAGAATACCTCAATGTAGCCCTGCTTTCCTTCATCTAGTACTTCCATGACTAAAGCAGCATAATATTCTCCTTCTTCATGGGTCACAGACAACTTATTGGTACTAGCAGTTAACAGTATTATCTGGAAGTCCCAAATTTATTATAATGTTAACACCAAAACAAATAAAACCTTATTCTTTCTGACATCCGGAAAAGAAGAGAAATATTGTAAAAGTTCAGAGAGACCTGTTTGATGTCTTTTTCAGTTACCCTTCCATCCATATTGCTATCACAACTGAAGGAAATTACACAAACGGGAAAGGTGATCAGTAATAGGAGGAATTGGTTTTACATTTATTGCCAAATAAAAAGGCAAAGAATTGAGAATTAGAGGATATTAGTTTTTACAGGTCAAATAGAATTCTTGTTCTTGAATTAACACTCGAATGACTCAACCGGCACCAGAGATTATGAAATTCACTTTTGGTGATTTCTATTTGCCAATCTTTTCTTCTTCTTAGCGCCCTCAACAGTTCGTAAGCAAATTCCTCGGACTCTGACATTCCTACTCGAAAGATGGTGATGGAAGAGATAAATGGTTAATACATAAATTCATTTATTAAGAAAAAACACTTCTGTCTTGAATAGTTATAATGCTTGACTATGTTTGTAAAATTTAAAATATATTTATGAACAATTGACACAATTTAGCTTTTCTCATGAATGAAGTGATCTAAATTAGTTATGTAATGCTTTCCTGATTACTTTGTTGCTTTTCCGACGTTAGAGTTTGACTGATGAATGTTGATTCAAATAATTTCTTATTAACCTAGAGTCTCTGAGTTTTTGATATCTCATTTTTCTTATTGTCTTTGATTGTTGGGAAGAGGGAAGGACTAGAAATTAGAACAAAAAAAAAACAGAGAGAACCTTGTTGCTTAGCATCTCACCTATACAGAAGGCAAAATTAGACCACTTCACGGCTGGTTCAGATCCAACACTGGTCCAAGACAGCTGATCGAACCGCTTCTCTGCCAATTTCCATTCACTTTCATTGTCGCAAAGAAAGTCAATAAATCGCAGTCGTGGAGCATACCACGATCTGTCCTCATTCTGACCTGAAAAACTAAATGTGTCATTTTGGAAAGAAGAGGATGAGCGGGACGAAGAAGTGGATGATGACGATAAAGAAGAAGAAGAGAGAGCAAAGGCAGCTGAGAGAGAGAGTCTCTGCTCTGTCTGTCTCTCCAAATGAATTTCCATTGATAGGACTCTCCTCTAATCTGGGCAGGTTCAGTATTTTCATTCAAAACTGAAAAAATGTATCCATTTCTCCCCTTCTCTTCAAGAAAACTTAGCTGTACTGCCCCTGCAAATCCGAAGGAAAATGAATGCGGGCTAGTTTATGAATGGAAGCTGAAGTTGGTGGTGAGAAATAAGTCATACATTGGGACTAACATATGAAGTTGTATTCCATGTTTGCTTCCTTATTTTCATTGACAAGTTTGTGGTTGAAATATAGGGGCAGTTGAGAATATATATAGAAAAGGACAATGGAAGGTTGAGCATATGTACATTTGGTGGCGTATTGGTTTGATTGAAATGTGTGAATGATTAGAGATAAATAATTAAAGGAAGGGAAGAAGGTTTTGTTGGGTGGATTAGGAGAGAAAGTGATGCTGAGGCAGGTTAATCATTGGATTTCGAATATGAGATGGATGCAAACGAAAGGGATCATGTGGTTTGTTTCTGCATGCAAGAGGAGAGAGAAAGGAAGTTGACGTTTAGCAGCCATTGGATAATTATTTTTTAGTTTGGTATCTTCTTTCTTCCTGTTCTTTCATGGCGGGCGGGAGGCTGTAAGTAGTACTATGTGGGCTGCTCGGGGATGACCGACTCTCTCTCCCCTCTTATAGATATCCTTTTTATATAAGGTATGATTTTTTTTATAAGTATAGTTTATCTTCTATATTTTCTCATGGTTAATCTATGCCTTCATGCATGTGCATTCTCTCTCTCTCTTTCATTTAAAATATCTAAACTTCTCTAGGTAATTATTTAGTTTTAATTTTTTTTGTTTCGTTCATTACTTGCGTTTTACCTATGCTTTCAGTATCAAAATCAAGTTTTTAAAGTAAAAAAAAAAATGTAATTTTAAATTTTTGGTTTTTTTCTCTTTAGAANTTCGGTTTTTTTTTTTTTTTTTTTTTTTTTTTTTTTTTTTTTTTTTGTAAGAAAGATGGAAACACAATTTTCAACTTTCTTTAGGAAATCTTTCAACTTTTAGTTAAATTTCAAAAAAAAAAATTAAACAAAACTTGAATTTCAAATTTATTGGTAAAAAATAGATTAGAAAGCAAAGAAGTTTATATAGGGTAATTAGTATTTATAAATAATTTTTTTCAAAAAATTAAATAATTATCAAATGAAAGTTTAGATATTTGATTTTGTTCTTGGACATGTGAGTCTTACATATGGTACACATGCATGTATGCATATATGCAGCAGCCACATAGATGGGCATTTCTGATAATTTGATAATTCAGTATCCAATGATCTATTGAGTTCTCAGATTTACTGAGTTCGGAGAAAAAAAAGTGGGTGTGATGTGCAGTTAGATTTACTGAACTAGGCAACCAAACGGTTGTTGAATTGCTTTCAACCTGTTTCAGGTTGAAGTGGGTGAGTGTATTTTTGTGTTGAGAATTTTCTCAGATTTGATTTTTATGATCTAATTGGAACAATCAGCTCAGCTCAGCTCACTTTAAAGTGAAGCTTCCCAAAATTCTCCTATTATTAGTTTAGGGTGGCGTGTGGGGAAGAAGAAGGTGGGCTATATTGACCGTGATGGGTAACTTCTTAAGCCCTTTGGAAAATGGGCAACAGCCATTTTTATAATAAAACAAAAATTCAAAGAGAATGTGTTTTGAAATATATATTTAATATACACAAATAAGATGATAAATCTTTGTTGACCATTGGGCAATGCTAAAAGCCAGAAATTAATGAAACGCCATGATACAGAAGGAAATGTGTCATCAAATTTAAAGGTATTTCATTAAGTTAATGTCTTACCCTCACCATAGGTTTAGTAGATTAGAACTCATTCTATTTTATTCTTAGGTTAGGTTTAGTAGTTCATAAATAGTTAACTCTTTACCTTCACGTTATGCCTAGCAGTTTGAAATTTATTCTATTTTATTTTGGATACACTCCATAAAACTTAAAATTGGCCTTCATTCTTAGTTTGATACCAACTTTTATTTGACTTGATAATTAAATAATAAACATTTTCGTATAAGAAAAAAAATCAAGTATGCATATGCTTTTCAAATATTGGAGGAAAGAGTTCGACTACCAATATGAACCACTTTTATATATATATATATATATATATATATATATATATATATATATGAGAGTTTACAATAATGTCTTTTGATTAATTTTGTGTAATTTTTAATTGGGTTTACATGTGAGTATTACCTCCACTCAAATTTAGAGTTTTGTTTCAACAAAATTAAAGCTTTAAGAGAAGTTCATCAGTGTTTTACATGTGAGTATTACCCCCAAAATTTACCTTAGCCGTTCATGGAAGTAGTACAATGTCTAATTAAGAGAAGTTTAGGTTTACCTTATTATGTCAAATTTTCGTATGTTTAATTTTACTAATATAAAATTTTCAATCAAAATTTAAAAAATGCTGAATGAATAAAGTTTGTCTGACTTCATAGATGAAAAATGAATTAACTATATGCTTAAATTGACTCGATTTGACCTAAATTAATTTTAGGTTAATCTATAAATCAACTATTAAACTATACCTATACCTGAGTTTAAAAGGCCACTTTTTTTCTTTTTTTCTTTTTTTTTTTTCTTTTTTTTTTTTAACAATACTGGAAAGTGAAGCTTTAAACAGGATACGAGACATAATTTTATCCTCTAATGTCATTTGACATTGAACGGGTAAAAATCCGTGAACAGTAACGTTCTTAAAATATTCTCTCCAAAGGCAGGGCGAACTTTGAGCGTGGCGCAAGCTCTTTTTTCCATCAGCTGTTTGGTTATTCTTGCAAAAGCTAGCGAATTTCACAGATCTAGAGAAGGGAGACACAGCTTGGTAAATTTCTGCTCGACAGTACTCCATTTCTGATCCTTGGCCTCTATGCTTCACATTTTTAATCTCATTGGGTTAACTCCGCATATGTTCTTATTCCATAATGGCTTCCATTTTGCTTTGTTTTTGTTCATTTTCGCCCACCCACGTTTTGTTTTCCTCTGGAGACTGCTTATTCGTTTGGTTTCTCGAGTAAATTTGAGGAATCCCGTGGAAAGGAAAGATTTATACCGGGGATTGTTTGATGTTTGAAGTTGTTTAGAAATTTATCTTCCTGCCCTTTTTCTTCTTGCTTTTCGTGGCTTCGTTTTGGATTTTTAATGGCAAATATATGTTTCCTTTCAGATTTTCTGAGTTCATGCGGATCTATGTTTCTTAAGTTATAAGATATGCATATATCATATATTATTGTGTTGGTTGTTGATATAGAGACAAGGGTGTGTTCGCTTGATGGATTTTCTTTGATTTATCGAATTCTGAACTGGGTAAGTGCTGGAGTGTATGTGTCGACCAGTTTCACTGATTTGGATACTTTGTTTTGTTCATAGCAGACAGATAATTGATGGACAGTTTATTGAGTGCACGAATCAAACCATTACCTACTCATTGTAGACAAATTCACTCAACTATTCGACCCACGTTGTTATTGCAATTTTCTAGAAGATTGGGTAAAAGTCAAATGGAGATGGGGAGATGTCGCACGTCATTTAATTCAATTGCCGCTTCAGTTCAGCCTGTAGAAGGCTCTGCACTTTCTCAATTCAACAACACATTGCCATCCAAAGGTGACTACAAATTTCTTGAATATATTGTCCTATGTCAATGGGGGTCAAAATGAACTGCCAAGGGAAATTTTGTTATTTCAGGAGTGAAATCACTTTGGATGGAAATTTTAAAAGAGATGGTGCTCACTGCTGACTTGTTTTACCCAATGATCAAACTTTGTTGTTCTTGAGTTCCTCAACTCAATCGAGATATTCTTTCATCTTACTCAGTTGGTAATTGTTCTCTCATATTTTACTATCTATCAGAGGTGTTGGAGCTGTGGAAAAGTGCAAATGCAGTATGCTTCGATGTTGATAGCACAGTTTGTGTAGATGAGGGCATTGATGAATTAGCAGATTTCTGTGGAGCTGGAGAGGCTGTTGCAGAATGGACTGCTAGGTTTGATTTGATTGTTTTTGACATGATTTAATTGGCCTCCTTGGATTTTCATTTAACTGAGATTTGTATGTCCTCAGGGCAATGGGTGGCTCTGTTCCATTTGAGGTTGCTTTGGCTGCTAGGCTATCTTTGTTTAACCCTTCACTTTCCCAAGTTGAGGAATTTCTCGCTAAGAGACCTCCAAGGTATGGGGTTGTTTTCCATGTACATTAACTTTTTCCAAAAATAGGGATGTTACATCAAATGATGTTTTGTTTTATCATATTCCTTTCTGACTTGTTCTTAATGTAATGCAGGATGCTTATTTTACATTTTTATTTTGTAGATAGCTACTCTTTAGATTGCTAATGTTCATAATATGGGACCATTAAGCTCCAATGGCACCCAGATATTGTTTAATATATTAACAGCAGCAAGTTTGTTTGTCTAAATTTTTTTATTTGAACAGCCGCCCGTTTGGATGGTAAACAAAACATGAAAACTTTTCATTGAATGTGAAGTTTTTTTTTTTTTTTTTTTTTTACTTCACTTTAACTATATCCGAAGGTGGGGGATTCGAAGCTATGACCTCTTGGTCTTGAGTGTGAAGTATTTTATGTGTTAATTCTTTAAACAAGAGTTTCCATTTGCTGTAAAATATTCGAAAACTGCATTAGATCATCTGTGCTCCTAATCTTCCAGCTGACTCATAAAAGGTAGGATTACAGAGCAGAGATATATTACTTAGTCCTATTTTTCATAGTGCTGATTGTTGCTCTTCAGGCTTTCTCCAGGTATAGATGAATTAGTTAAAAAGCTAAAAGCTAGCAACATTGACGTATATCTGATTTCCGGAGGTTTTCGTCAAATGATCAATGTAAGTTTATGACTAATTGTAGTGAGTCTCTCATATTTCATGAAGAACTAACTAACTTCTAATGTTAGTTATTGGAAAATTAATGAGGAATTGATATTTATTATTATTAATCAACGAGCTACTTTGTGTGAAGCCTGTTGCATCAATTCTTGGGATTCCACATGAGAATATTTTTGCCAACCAATTGCTTTTCGGAAGCAAGGGTGAATTCATTGGCTTCGACGAAAATGAGCCTACTTCAAGGAGTGGGGGGAAAGCAACTGCAGTGCAACAACTGAGGAAGGTAGAATCATTGCTTTTGGTAAGACGTGCTGTTGATTTTCGAATGCAAATTTGATTCGGGTGGTTTTGCAGGCTCGTGGATACAAGACGTTGGTCATGACCGGGGATGGTGCAACTGATCTTGAGGTGAGAAGAGACACCTGAGTCTCAAAACGTGAATTACAGCAATTGTTTTTCTTATAAAATATCTTAAATTGGTAAACAGTCATAGTTACTTGTTCCTAGCTAATCCTTCTGGTTAGGAGCTACGACTCTCTACAATGGTATAATATTGTTCACTTTGAGCATAAACTCTCATAGCTTTGCTTTTGGTTTCCCCAAAAGACCTCGTACCAATGGAGATGTATTCCTTACTTATAAACCCATGTTCATCTCCTTAATTAGCCAACGTGGGACTCCCTCCCAACAATTCTCCCCTCGGATAAAGGACACCATAGAGCCTCTCCCGAGGGGTCTATGGGGCCCTCGAACAGCCTCCCCTTAATCGAGACTTGACTCCTTTCTCTGGAGCCCTCGAGCAAAGTACACCCTTTGTTCGCCACTTGAGTCATTTTTTACCACACCTTCAAGACTCACAACTTCTTTGTTTGACATTTGAGAATTCTATTTACTTTTTGTTTCCCCAAAAGGCCTCGTACCAATGGAAATGTATTTCTTACTTATAAACTCATGATCATCTCCTTAATTAGCCACAATGTGGGACTCTCTTCCAACAATCCTCAACACAAATGACTTCCACTTCCGAGCTCCATAGTTCTTGCTTGATGTTAGATTTTGTTTATTCTTCATGGTTTTAGTTGATTTAAGATGTTTGTTATACCACCTAAATGGACAAGGGACCTTACCTATGGCCCAATTGAGCTGAATGTGCAGTAAACTTTTCTGACCCTTGAGCCTGGGTTCGCTAATCACTTATATTTGCAAGCCAGTTGAAGCTTGATCATTCTTCTAATTCCAACGCATATTCTTTTTGACATAGGCTCGTAAACCAGGAGGTGCTGACTTGTTTATTTGTTATGCCGGTGTTCAACTTCGAGAAAACGTTGCAGCAAAAGCTGACTGGTTGGTCTTCAATTTTGTAGATTTGATCAACTCCCTTGACTAGCACATATTTTTTTCAGAAATGCATCCTCCTTGATTCTTACATCTTGTATTGCTTGCTTTCTTTATGCTCTATTTCTGCAGTCACACTAGGAACTTCCATAAATAATTCTTCAATGCCATTGAATTTTACATCCTTACCCTAATTATTTCTATGAATATTTGTACGAGAGCATAGAGACTTTGGAGACTTTGGAAGTAAAGACTGTTTTCAGTGTTGATGAAAAGGGTTATATTTGCTTGAGAATTGGGAGCTCAACTTCTAGGCCGAAGAAGAAGCAATGATGGTATCTAGAGAATATATATTTGGCTTTATGACAAAAAATTAACCTTAAACGAGAGATACTAGATAATGTGCGTATCAACCTGTGCAATGGACACAAGACCAAACATGTGTGCAGAATGAACAGAGCAACGATTAGATATTAGATAATGTGCGTATTTTCTTTTTTTTTCAGCCACTTGGATTTTTCTTTCCAAACCCAATTTTCTGTATTTTGATAATATAATAAATGACAAATTCCAAAAGCCAAAAAGTGGGTTTGCTTAATTAATCGGCCATCTTAATAACCTAATTAAGTAATTAACGTATATCTTTCCCTTTTTTTTTTCACTCTTTAATTCTAAAAACAAAACTTCTAATACACTTTCTTAATTTTATTTAATTCTTGGTAATAAATTTGTAAATTATATATTAATTCATCTCAAATATTTCTATTTAGAATTTATGCCCAACTTTTTCTAAATAAATTGAGAAAATATATATTAGATGCATTAGAATGGCGAGAGTTAAATTCATTTAGGTATTAGATTATTAATGCATCGCTATAATGATAATACATGTATTAGGAAGATTAGTTATTGAATATTCAGTACATATGATCACGAAAAATGTTCCAAAAGTCAACTTTGAAATAAAATACATCTCCTTTTTCAAATAGCAAGATATATATATATATTTTTTATGTGCTCAATTATGATAAAATTATTTTTTTAATAATATTGCGTAATTAAGGGAAAAATATTTAAATTTACAACCCACAAGGTCAATAACCCCTAGAGCCCTATGCTAAACTGAGGTATTCAATGAAATTAATATTTGGTTTTTGCCATAAAGATTTAAAAAATCATTTTAGCAAATGTATTTCTTTTGTTATATTATTATTACAAAGTCTTTAAATGGAAACTTTTTTAATCACAAAAATTGGATAATGTTTTAAATTAAAAGTTAAATATTTTTATTTATTTATTTATTAATAAAAAGGAAAATAAAATTTATGATTTGTATTTGTACTGTAGACGGGGCCTTGGTTATTGCCATTGGTTTACCTTAGTAGATAACAGGGCAGCCGGTCTTATTCTTCGGGCCATTTCAACAACCGCCGCGACGACGATAACGACACCTCCAAAGCTCGCATTTCTTCTCTCGGCACGTCTTCTGGGGCCTCCTGGATTTTCAATCTCTTTTGGAACTAGATTTCCCTGGACCCATTTTTCGCCATGTTCTTCTACCGTCTCCGCCACCATTTTGTCAGCTTCCTTTACATTCCGTTGATTATGGAAATCTGCGATTGCGTTGGTGGGTTCTGCGCCAGAAGGGCTGTTCTCAAATGGGTATTTCTTGGTTGAGATTTTTTCCTTTTTGTTGGTGGGCTGTGGGTTTTTTTGTGTTCGTTTATTGGGTTGAGCCAAAATTGGATGCCTATTAAGAAATGGCTTCTGGGTAGCGTTGATTTTTCTATGATATAGCTTGATTCTCTAGAGCTTGTGAAGGAAATGCGGCCTTAAACTTTATATTTGATTCTGTTCAATCTCTCTGTCTGCTCGAAATCGTTTATTTCTTCTAGGTTCATGAGTAATTTGTACTGTTAAATTTTGCTGCCAATTAATTCAAATCTGTATTTGAGGCCGCTGGGGATAGCTCCTGGTTAATTTCAAGGTATAGATGTCGCCTAGGTTCCCTTTCTACGGATAAAAAATGGGGAATGTTATGCTGTTTTAGCTTTGTTTTTTTCTTTGTGCAATAGGGTTTTGCTTGTATGATTCACTGGGCTTGCTGTAATGGGAGTTAGAACAAAAGGGGAGATTAGGATTGTGGAATTTGGCTAGAGTCTTTGGTTGTGTAAGGGAGTGTGCTGAAATGGACTTGTGGGTAGTTGCTACTGCTGCTGGTGCTGGATACTTAGCCAAGTATTGGCAGAAACTGTTGAGGGATGGGAATAGCTCATCTCAGATGTCTTCTAGGAATTCAATTAACGAGGAAGTAAGATCTCTGGATCATCCCTTCCACGAAACAGCTCGAAGAACGAAAGCAAGTAGAGATATCCTGCCTGATGAAGGAGAGGTTTTGAATGAGAGAGATTTTGATACAAGTCTATTCAATGTGGCTTCTACAAATGGTTTTGATTGTGAAAAGATGGAAAGTTTGGGGAATTACCAGGACTATAACGATCTTCGAGTATCCGATTTGCCACTGGAATTATCATTGAGTAAGGACCCTCGAGCATTTGGCCATAGAAGTAGTATGAACGTGAATATGGACGATAATATTACTGATCAGCTACCTTGTTCATCTTCTAGAGAATTGAACTGGATTCGGCCTACTGTGAGGAAAATAGGTTCTCTTAGACGTAAACGTTCGTGTGGGAGATTTATTAGACCGCTTAGTTCGTTAGATAGTTGTGTGCTGTCTCATCTTTACAAGGAACACATTGAAATGGAAGAGTATATCCTACATTCGTTTCAGTCACCATCTGAATCAACCAGGAGGCAGCTCGTTGTAAACGGTGGAACCCGGATGGTCAGCCGGGCAGCTAGGGATTCTTTTAGTGTTCAGGTTGATATGGATGCAAGTAACTTCCATAAAGAGCCATTGATTGAAAAGAACAGAAATGTGTGTGGATTACCTTTGCTTCCCAAAATACAGTCTTTGAAGAACTATGAGATGATAGACATCAAGGGAGAAAGGAGACAAGGTGGAGCAAGCAGTGGCAGTCAAATGCATAATGAGAAGCTCCTCCATGGAGAAGGTGAATTTTAATCAGATAACTTCAGGGTTGCTAAATTCTTTTTCATTCTAAACGCCTTTTTATCTCGAACTCGTAACCTTTAAAGATTGAAATTTCTTTGTTCTGAGCTGTTGTGATGTTCATTATCAGTATCGGTATTGTTAATTGGTTACCATTTGCCTAATTGTGCTTAAATTTACATTTTATTGTGTTCATCAGATCGAATGCTTCCGTTCTATCTTGGATTTTCGATCGGCTTAATATCATCTTACGTGGCAAATAAGCGAGAAATAGACAAGCTCAAAGAGTTATTAAAGCATACTGAGAACTTGGTTCAAGATCTGCAAGAGGAACTTGAGATGAAGGACTCTGTAACAGTGAAGGAGCTTTCAAATGAGAATTGTGAATCACTAGACATATCTGAAAATTCGTTCTTCGGTAGGAGAGAACGGAATCTCAATTCTTCGGCTAAATCTGATGATAAGGAATTATTCGAACAAAACGCTGAAGAGGGGTCAGAATCTCTGAGTAAAATTGAAGCTGAGCTTGAAGCAGAACTCCAGAGATTGGGACTTAATACCCATACGACGAGTACAGATAAACGATTTTCTGATCTTCATGAGGTAATTGGTGTCTATTTATTGAACGTTTTTTTCTTTCGGTACATACACATACAAATCGTCTCATTATCTCACTGTGATGTTAATTTTCTGTTTCCAAGTTTAAGCATATCATTCAGATTTGGTTTAGTGGATGCTCCCTTTGAAGTACATAGTTCGTTGTTCTTGCTCTTTTGAATATAGGTTCTTTCTCTAGAACTCAAATGTTCAAATGATGAGTTCTTGCTGTGGTCAATTCCTTTTGGTTCTGCTTATCTTTATGGTTTGATCCTTAATTCACAAACTTAAAAGTATATATTCCGATGTCGTTTATACGTAAAACTTAACGACAACATAGTTTATGGATCGCTTTGAAAGAGGGCGTGTGATGTATGCATAAAGATTGGTCGTCACGGTATGTTTTGAGCCACGAACGAGGAAGAGGAACTGTTCACCTTACACCTGCTTAGTTTATTAGCAAAAACAATGATATTTAGTGGTACTCATTGTTTTGTGTTGATATGGAGCAATTTCTTTTGCAGCTTGAACAAGAATTTGCAGTAGATTTCTCTGAAGGTGAGTTGAGAGCTGACATTATCGATGGGCTAAGTGCTACTCAGATTCATGAAATTCAAGTTGACAGTGAGATTGCTTCTTCAGGTAACCACACAGTTTCACCCTGGGAGCTTAGCTTGCGACTACATGAAGTAATCCAATCGAGACTTGAAGCGCGTGTGAGAGAACTCGAAACAGCCCTTGAGAATAGCGAGAGGAAACTTCAGAGGGTTGAAACCAAGCAGATCAATTCTTGGAAAGGATTCACCCCAAGTGAACTACTGGTACATTCATCTAGTGAAGAAAGTCTTACTGCTCAACCTCTTGTTATGAATTTAGCTGGAGAAGCTCTGGATGCCTATAATGAGGCATATAATGAGTTGATTGATACCGATGACTCCGAAGAAGAGCTTGTGTGTCCACCATCAGCAGTCGACGAAAGTAAGCATCGACAAAGCAACACCACCACAAACGGTCATCGATTTTCAATCCCGACAAGCCTCAGTAGGATACTTGTTAAGGAGAAAATGAAGGATTGTGATTACAAGGTTCAGCAGTCAAATGATGAAGATGAAAGCAGTGATTATGATGATGAGATGGAGAAGCAGTTGATAAAGCAGATTGTGGAGAAAACCAGAAAGGGATCCCCTGTGGTTCTGAATGCACAAAGATGGCTGTTTTCAATGGATAAAGACAACGTCTGAACCATAATGTAATACTGATCAATCATTAGTGTAGAACACCCAACATTACCATCAATTATTATTGTTCTGCAATAGCCTTCTTTTGGTCGTTGAATAATGACACTTTATTTAAAATGCATCCAACAATGAAAAGACATACAACAACTACAAGCCACAAGCAGCTTGGATCTTTACCACAATAGCCTTCATAGGATAGAATTGAGAATGGCTTCTAATAGAGATCAGACAAAACTTATTTGTCAGTGAGAAACCAAATTGAAAATACATAGGAACACTGATCATCGAGGAAGGTCCAACATGGCCATAACCAAACATCCAATATCATCTATCAGGCTCTTTTAGCGAAGTCATTTGCGTCGTCGTCTTCGTCTCTATCATTTCCTTCAAGTTGCTCCCCTAGGCCACTTCCAGGTGCATTCATGGAGTCTGTTTCTTTGCTGCTAAATTGATCGCCACCGGTATATCCTCCAAAACCAGAGCTTTCTTCAGACCCACGGTTGGAAAAATAGTCGCCGCCCCCGCCACTGACGTTATAGTTTCCACTGTCCCCACCAGAAAAATTGCTGGCGTTGTAGCCAGCATCATTCCCACCAAAGCCACCACCTGTGCTAACACTTCCACGGCTGTCACTGGCAAACTCGTTGCCATAGTTTCCTCCAGTTCCTTGGCTACCACCGCCAAAATTGTTCGTATAGTTACCACCGGAACTATATCCTGTCGTGGAGAATCCACCACTACCATCACCATAACCTCCACTCCCACCACCGCCATAGCCCCCAGGACCACCGCCACCATAGCCGCCACCGCCATATCCACCACCGCCATATCCACCACCACCGCCATATCCACCACCGCCGCCATAGCCGCCACCACCACCATAGCCGCCACCACCCACACCACGGCTTCTATCATTAGCATAATTCACCCTAACGCGACGACCATGAAGATCCTGTTTGAAATAAAATAATCCAAATCATCCAACTTTCTGAGTTTAGCAAATATTAAGAACCAGAATAGATTAACTAAAAAATGCATCACCATAAATTAGGCAGTTAATTTTAAATAATGCTTGGTTCCAATAGATTCAAAGGCCAAACAAGTAACATGAAAGCACAATCATCAGAAGGAAAAGAAAGCAGACAGCTGACGTTCTTGAATTAACATTGCATCATCCTTTTTAATCAGATTATAACATATAAAAGCATATGAATATAAAACAATGCATCATCCTTTTTAATCACATTGAGCCGACAACTGAATCATTACCTGTCCATCCAATGCCTGGATGGCACTAGAGGCCTCCTCACTGGAGGTATAAGTCACAAATCCAAATCCTCTAGATCTTCCAGTTTCACGGTCCACAATGATCCTAGCTGTCACGGGGCAAGGAAAAAAACAGGGTAAACAAGGAAAACAACAGTAATTACTAAATTCAGACTCGACACACTCCACTAGCACGTCAAGTAATATCCAGCTCCAACCCTCCAGAGAAACATAATCCCTTGAGCAGATTCCATCATACGGGTTCCAAAATTATGTTTATTACATGTTCATTTTTGTTGTAAAGATAAATCTTTGTATTACTCTGCTGTGGAATGTTCAAAAGCATGCTACTTTACAAAAATTGATTGTACAATAAAAATAAGCCATGTTAAAAATTGGAAGAAAGATACTACTAAAATAACCTTCAAGCAAACATGGTAAACAAGTTGGGGAGTGGTAATATACCTTCAACTACTTCTCCATACTTAGTAAAGGCTTCCCTCAGACTTTGATCATCAGTGCTGAATGAAATACCTGCATCATAAGCATGCGTACAAGCACAATATAAAGAAAAAGAAATTGGGACTTGTTCCTTAAATAAAAAAAACAACTTTTCTAATCGAACCTCCGACAAAAAGTTTAGAACTTTGCATGGAAGACATCCATCGTACAGCTTGACAGATAGATAAACTGGAAGCCTGCAAATCCGATCCAATCTTCTTATTTGCACCCTGCCTTAGAATATTTCCAACCTTACTTAGGAAAGCCATTCAGATGCAACCTGAAAGAAATAAATGAAAATGATTCGATCACAATATCAGAGACAACAAAGAAAGCTGTTAGGTTCCTCAAATTACGGGCCACTAAGGTTTTTGACAAGTTAAGAGAACAGAGAACACCGTCGCAACATAACTCATCGCCAGAACATACTAAAACCGACTAAACAGAAATGGACCATAAACGAACACTAGCGATGCCAGAAACCGACGTAATAATGCTCATAACGTTACCTTTCAGCGCCAACGTGCATAAGCTCTGTTTAGGTGTTTAATAGAAACATATCAAGCTTAATAAGATGATCCTTACCACCGAAAACCAGTTCATCCATAACAAAATAGACCCTTTAAACCAAATCAACACGCAACAGAAGACAGTCCGTGATGAAAAAAATCAAATACGCAAAAGTCGAGAGAGATAAGACTCATCGCATATTTCTGCCATCATTCCCTCTAGTTCCCGAACCCATAAACCACAAAAATAACTCTATTCAGAGTAACAAACCATCGATCAAATGTCCAACACCCTCAATACGCACGCGCGTGACCGAATCAATCAGTAAAGCATAAACAAGTGGCAAAATGACGTGTAAAGAAAACGCAAAAACAGAGACAATGGAGTGAATGGATAACGAACCTTCTTCTTCTTCACTTTCGTTACGATGCTAAAACCCTAGCAGGTTTTTCTGATCCGTACGGTAAGAGGTTTGTAAGAATATGAGAATATATAGAGAAGCTGGAGAAATCTGGGCCGTCGGATGGATCAATGACGGTGCAAACTAGGGCCACGAACAAAATTCAAAATCTACCCTAATTTTGTAAGATTTGTATTTTTTTTTTTTTACCATAAACCTTTTTAACTTTATTATTACGTATGAATCTAGTAAATTTTACTGGGGTAAAAGTTAATACTACATTTTAAACCTAGTTGAAATATACATTATATTAAATGATCATGTGATCCGCTCGTTAACATGACATAATATTAGCTTAATATTTTATATTTTATATTTTAGGATAGTAAACTAAAAAAGATAATAAATAAATAAATAAAATTATCTAACTAATTGGGTTAAAATGAAAAAAAAAAAAAACCAAGGAATATATATATCTTAATGGAGGGAATAATAAAAGGATTCCGAAAATGGAGGGAATTTTAAATAAATTAAATTAAATTAAAAATATTTTTAAAAAATATTAAAAAATGCAAAGTTCGTTGGTAGAAAGAGAAAGAGAAGGCTGAAACAATGCGACGCCTCATAACTTCCTTCCCACTCCGTTTTCCATTTTCAAGCTCTACTCTTATCTCTCTCTCTCTCCCCTAAATTCTCTCTTCCTCCCTCCCATCTCTGTTTCACCATTCTCTCTCTTCCTCGTTCGATTCTATCGGAATCTTTTCTGAATTTGGCACTCTTTTCTTTTGCTCATTCGATAATCCATCCCTCTGCGACATTCCCAATCCGGGACTGTCGGTACCCGGCCGTCGGAGGCCTCTTCTCCTCATCTCTCCGGCCGGAAGTCTCTATGAGCTTTTCGTCTTATACTACCTGGGATTGGGATGTTGTCGACGTAAGTTATCGTTTATCCTGCAACTCTTGACTTTATATTGGATTCCCCTGTTATTCTTTTGACGCCGTCGTGTTTTGTGTTACGATTTGTTGTTATTTGTTCGGTTTCTTTTTTTGCGGATGTAGATATTTGATTTGAAATTTCATGCGAAGTGAACGAAAAGGAGCGATCGAGAAATCACGAATACTTGGGATCTTGAGAGATTTGATGTTATGAGGGGTTAGGCGATGGAATAGTGAATGGGAGATTGTTGAAATGAAGCGCATGGATTATATCTTGGAATGCGATCTCCGTATTTCAGAGTTTCAAGAGGTCGTGGAATGGGGCAAAAGCCGCGCCGTTCTTTTCGAGGTTGCGAGATATTGTTTAGTTCGCGGCGGCGATGAATAATTCGCAAGTACTGGTTGAGTTTCAGTAATTGAAATCTAACGATTTCGGGTTATCGCTTAACTTCTGTTCGTCATGGATAGAACATAGGCTGGGGATTAAATCCGGATGGCCGAAGAAACTTGTAGTCCCCATCTTCCATTTCTCTGATAAACACAATGCATTGATTGCTCGCTGACAGGAGAGCTAGCGAAGTAATCCATTTCTGATTCAATACTCTCTTACAGCGTGATAGAACCTAGAACCAGATTTAATCGAATCATAAAGGGTTTGGATATCTTGATTTGTTTATCGCATTTCATGTTCTTGTTGCATTTTACAGGCGGTGATTTTCAGACTTGATCTGATTCGAAAATTGAAGAGTGGTGCCTGAAAACATATGGAATCTGGGCGAAAGATTGAGGCCGGTGAATCAAATACACATCCTAGCAAAACTTTAAGCTCCGCCTTATCCTCGGCATCTAATTCCTCCTCCGACAGCTCCTTCGAATTGGTTGTAAATGAGCCCGGCCTATACGTTGGTGGTACGACGAGTGACTCTTTGAAAAAAGAGTTGCATGCTGCAGGACACCCGGATTCTGATTTTGCGTTTATCAATGGCAATGAATCTTCCCTTCGTGATGGTGTGATTGAATTCCCAAAGCCTGCAAAGGACAAAGATATCAAGGCTGTGGTGAAGAACAGCAGGTCAGGCAGCGAGGAAACAACTCAATATCCTCAAACTCAAGTGATGGAGCGAGCTGATAATCCTAATTCACCTGGATATAGAATCCCATCTCATGTCTTTTCTAGAACTAAATCTACAACGCCTACAGAATGGAGTGGTGCTTCAAATGAATCATTGTTCAGTATTCAGATGGGAACCATGAGTTTTACCAGAGAACAATTGTGTTGGATAGGAAAATCAGGCGAGCTATATAGGTCTGGTGAATTAGCCATGAGCGTATCCCAGGCTTTGAATATGAAACATTCTGAATGTGGGTTGAAGGGCACCCATCAAGATGGTGATATGGCAGTCACTGAAGCACGATGTGCCCAAACAATGAGGGAGGTTATAAGGGAAAATTCAGAAACCAACCGCATGGGAAGTTCTACTCTAACAGAGTCGTCATCTCAGTCAGCCAGCGTTTCTCATCAGTCAGAAAGCAGCACACAATCTTTCCAGTTTCCCATGTAAGCCACTACGTTCTCAAATCCTTATCGACTAATATAGCTTTTGTTTTAATGTTTTGAAGAAAAACATTGTCATTTTTCTTCGAAACTAACTGGTAGAATCGAAGCTGTAAATGGATAAGAGTGGATAAGATGAGCTAAGAAAGTATGCAGAGCTAACCGAATGAAGTATTAGAAGAATGCTCATTAATTTTTCACTCTTAGCACTAAAATTCTTGAGAGATGTTGCAGATCAAATTTATATGAATGTTTTGTTTGTCCAAATTGAAGATTGTCAGGAGATGGAGCAAAAAGCATTTCTTTTAAGGGAGCAGAACCCGAGAAGGAGAAGTCGAATCACGAGACGAATAATGAATTGCAACATTCAGCTTCATCAAATCCACAGATCCCCAAGGAATCGAGCTCAGACGAATCTCCAAAAGCAGATTCAAATGTGGCTCCTCCAAAGAGATGGCTTTCTTGCTTATCTTGCTGCTCCTTCCGTAGTTGAGAGAAGTGTACAGGTTCAACCAAACTGCCACTGCCCCCCTCTTCTTGTGTAGCTACTAGGATAATGCATCTGGATAGTTTTGTTAACAACACGAATTTTGTTTTGGTAGGCACAGTTTCTCGGTTCTTGGTAACTGGATAAGCCATCTTTGGACGCAAACTTTGTGCTAAATCATCTGTGTCTGATGTTGACAACTTCAGTGCCGATGATGCTGATGAAATTGCAAGAAAGAAAAAACAGTTCAAAGAAGCTTGAAATGATCGTCTCCAATCAAATGTGGCTTCTCGTTTGTCTGTACTTCTCCTTCCTTGATGAAACATGAGAGTGGTACCCATTGTATCGTTTGATTGGAATGATATGATACCCAATGGTGCTCGTTGTTGGTTGTCTTTTGCCCCTTCTGGGTCTGGGAAGTGTCAAAGAGCTTCAAGGAAGCTGATGAACAAACGTAGATAGGTGCGAATGAATGGCTTCGAGTTTGATCGAATTGGATGTTGAGTTTTGAAACGAAGGGAGGAGTCATTATTGTTGTTGCTGCTGCTGCTGCTGTTGCTGCTTTAGATTTGCTTGTACGTGGTGGAACTATGTAGCGAGAGCAAGACCATAGCTTCTTCTCTTATTGCCCTGTCGATAATCCCTTTTTGTTCCCCTTTATAAATACAACTGTTATTTGACAGTTTTGTTTCTCTGTGTTGGTTATCTTACTTGAGTGTAATGATTACTTGAGAATTACCGTCCAAATAAGTTTCAATCGCAATATTAAAATTATCATAGATACATTTTATTTTCTGATGCTAGATGACGAACATGAACCTATGAACTACAAACTCTTTAAATTCATTGTTGAAATACACGTGACCATTCCTAAATCCTATATATATATATTTATTATTTTTTTTTTTAATAAAAATAATCAAATATTTAATTTAGTTACTGACATTAGAAGAAAAAACCTATATATGAGCAATTTCACATCAAATCATTTCAAAACCTAAAGGGGTAGCCAGGTAATTTCAGAAAGCTCGGAAGGGTAAATCCGTAAATTAGGATTCTCGGCCGCGTAAACCGTATTAGCCCGCCAAAAATTTGGAAGGTGTTTGGGAAAAATGGAAATCGGAAAATTTATTTGCCGCGAAAACACCAATCTTTCTCTTTTTTTCAAAGATCCAAAACCAATTTCCCGCTTGAATCATCAAATACAAAACCCCCAAATCCCTTCTTCTTCCCCTCATTCTTCACTTCTTCTTCTTCTTCTTCCTCTCGCTGAATCTCTCTCAAATTTCTGACCTAGCTTTTCCTATCCTATACCGTCGAGCAATGGCGAATGCACCTACCCCAGGCGGGATTTCCAAGATCTTGGCGAATCCATCCCCGGATTCCGCCTCCGATGTCCCTCAGGTTGTGCTTCAGGTCCTCGATCTCAAGGCGACGGGAAATCGCTACATGTTAGTTTTCTTTCACCTTTCTTTGAACTCTGATTAGTACTGTGTTGTTTACTTATGCTCGCTCGAACTGTCTAAGATTCCCTTTTGGTTCCGACCTAAGTTCGGTGATTCATTGTTGACATGCTTGAAAGTTAAAACTCTGGTTTAGATCAAACTGTTTGTGTCGTGTGTATAATCTTTGGATTATCTGCCAGGGGTTCGTGTTTTCATAAATCGTCGCGTTAACGATTAGGGAGATTTCTGTTGATATTTGTGATTGAAGATCTAAAGCTTATATGGGCCGTTTATTTAATTTCTATTACTTCACTTTCAGGTTTACTGCTGCCGATGGGGATATGAAGCTAAAATCCATTCTTCCTTCAAACCTTACGTCAGAGGTCATATCTGGAAACATTCAAAATCTGGGTCTTATTCGCGTTCTTGATTATTCTCTCAATGACATTCCGAACAAGCCAGAAAAGTGAGTTTCGTCTTTCAAATTTTGAGAAATAATCATGTTGCGCCTTCCTAAATTTATATGTAATTGTTCTTTGTTTAGTTATGGTTTGTCATATTTCTTTCTTATTATCAGGTATCTAATCGTGACAAAATGTGAGGTGGTGTCTTCTGCTTTAGACAAGGAGGTAAAATCTGAGGTTAAGAAAGAGGAAGCAGATATTGTTTTGAAACCCAAGCAAGAGTTAGACGATAAGAGTGCGGTTAATACTGGATCTGGTATTCTTTTAAAACCAAAGCAAGAATTGGTTGCCAAATCAGCTGCCCAGATTGTACATGAGCAGCGTACAAAGTGAGTGTACTCTCTTTTAGGAGATCATTTGTTGGACTTAGTTATCAAGTTCACAGTTACTGTATGCAAATACTGATACATGTTTACATGTTTTTGCTTTTCCGTGAACAGTATGGCACCATCTGCACGGATGTCCATGACAAGGCGGGTTCATCCGCTTGTCTACTTAAATCCGTACCAGGGAGATTGGACTATCAAAGTTCGTGTTACAGACAAGGGAAATCTGCGTACATACAAGAATGCCCAGGGAGAAGGTTGTGTTTTCAATGTGGTGTTGGCAGATGAAGATGTAAGTGAATTGCCGATCTGTTAAATCATTACCACTTTTACTTAAACAATTACATTTTATAGTCTCTTGTTGATATGCAAGTGAAGTTACTTGTCTCTTCTTGTTCAGGGGACACAAATACAAGCAACGATGTTCAATGAAGCTGCAAGAAAGTTCTATGAAAAGTTTTCCCTTGGCAAAGTTTACTACGTTTCAAGGGGAACTTTGAAAGTTGCAAATAAAAAATTTAAGACAGTTCAAAATGATTATGAAATGACATTAAATGTGAATTCTCAAGTAGACGAGGTCACCAACGAAGCTGCTTTCGTCCCTGAAACCAAGTTCAATTTTGTCAAGATTGATATGTTAGGTCCTCACGTGAATGGAAGAGAGCTTGTTGGTAAGAATCCTATCCTACCCTAAATAACTTATCCTTGCATGTTTTTTTTTTTTTTTTTTTCCATCTTATAAAGTTAAACATGTTTTTGGAACGGCCAGATGTTATTGGAGTTGTACAAAGTGTTTCTCCTACCATGAGCATTAGAAGGAAAATCAACAATGAGACAGCTCCAAAACGTGATGTAACTATTGCTGATGAGACGTGAGTAGATTTTCTCATTGATGAAAATTGTTGTCTGTTTACATCATTCATATTGAAGTTATGAGTATTAAATTGCAGAAAAAAGACTGTTGTGGTATCTTTGTGGAATGATCTTGCTACCACCGTGGGACAGGAGTTGCTTGACATTGTCGATCAATCTCCCATAATTGCATTGAAGTATCTTAGAGTCGGAGATTTTCAAGGTACTGCTAAAATTGAAGTGATTATATCTGGTAAAATTGAAGCAAACTCTCTTGACATCCTACTTGCTTCCATCTGCAGGTGTATCTTTGTCAACTATAAGTAGGAGCTCAATTTTAATAAATCCCGACATAAAGGAAGCACATCAACTGAGATCATGGTAAGTTTACAGAGTGCAAGTTGAGTTCGTGCCATAATATAATTAGCTATAATAGTAATGCATTTTATATTACCTGCGTATAGGTACGACTCTGAAGGAAAAGCCATATCCATGGCTTCTGTCAGCTCTGGCATGAGCCCCTCATCCAAGAGTGGGTCGAGATCCATGTACACTGACCGGGTCTCCCTGTCTCATATACTCCAAAACAAATCTTTGGGAGAAGAAAAGGTAACATACATACGACCTTTGAATTCAAGAAAGTGAAACTTCTATAGGGAGCAATACTATGAAATATCCATCCCTATAGAACATCTATTTATCAAGAGTAACATGAGTTTTATTATCTCTCCAGCCAATGTTCTTCAGCATAAGAGCATATGTCAGCTTTATTAAGCCTGATCAAACAATGTGGTATCGGGCTTGTAAGACATGCAACAAGAAGGTGACCGATGCCATTGGATCTGGATATTGGTGCGAAAGCTGCCAGAAAAACGACGAAGAGTGCAGCTTAAGGTACATAATGGTCGTAAGAGTTTCTGATGCCAGTTGTGAGGCTTGGCTCTCCACATTCAATGCAGAAGCGGAGAGGATTGTTGGGTGCACTGCTGAAGAGCTTGACGGGCTCAAATCACAGGTAACGAATCAGATAATACAAGAACTTGACATTGAGAACTTGAAGCAAACTTGATTGACCTTTTCTTATGTTTTCAATAGCAGATTGGAGAGGAGGCTTCATATCAGCTGAAACTCAAAGAAGCCACTTGGGTTCCACATTTATTTCGAGTTAGTGTCTCTCAGAATGAGTACAACAATGAGAAGAGGCAAAGGATCACTGTCAGGTCCGTTGCTCCAGTTGACTTCGCTGCCGAGTCCAGATTTTTGCTTGAAGAAATAGCAAAGATGAAAGCTTCGTAGGAGGGGTTTATTGCAGAGCCATGGGTTACTTAGGACTTTGGTAGAAAATTGTAAATTAAATCACCAATTAACAGTCGTTTTCGTTTTTCTTTTCTCTAGTGACAATGGGGGAATGTTTTGTTTATCATCTCAATTCAAGGATGCTTTTGCGTATACTAAGCTTTTATTTCACATTTATGGTGACTAGATGGTTCAAATGACAGAACTTGGAGGATACAAACTTCACTATTGGTATTAGTATCATTTAAAAATGATATGACTTGGAAGAAATTGAGTCGATATTGGTTTGTGTTTTTTAACTTGGGAAGGGGCATTGAGAATTCAACATGGATTTCAATTACAAAACTCTAGGGTTTCTCCACCCTTGCACGTCTCTAGGCTGTTGGTTATAAATAAATGAATATTCTACAAATGTACTACCCAACCTCAAAACAATCCAAAAAATGAAATGAAAGCTCACTAGCAATGGTTCGTTTTTTCTTATTAGCATGGGATTGGATGTTTGAAAGACAAGGCAGACAATCTTCGAGGAATTCCTATCAATTTTAGATAACAATCCATCTTTCTTACTTTTGCTCTTTTTCCCAATCAATTGCGAGAGTTCTCGTTACTCCCATGCGCATACAATAGCTATGAGTTGCCGTAAGGGCTGTTGCACGAGTACACTAACAAGAGAGGAACTATGAATAGTCACTCTAAGATATTGCATACAAATATCATGAGAAAGATAGCCTGGTTCCTATAGACTCTTGACTCTTGAGCGGCTAAGAATGTTATGTCAAAAGAACCCATAACGATGAAGGAGAAGGCAATGGAATTGTGAGATTCAAGAGCAAAAACTCCATTAACATTTTGGTTTTAAAAATTTTACAATTCAAATAGTTGATTCGGTCTACAAGACCCAGTCCACAAATACCCCGATAATCGTGTGAGATCAGAGGGGCAAAGAAATAGTACCCCAAAATAATGCCTAATAGAATAATAATCATAGCAAAATGATGTTCACCAAAGAGCCTTAACGTCGTACAGCTTTATGAAGCACTAAGGGTAAAAAATAAATAAAAAAAAAAAAAAAATCAAAACTATCTTCTCACATAAATGTAAATGACTAATTGAAGAGTACCTTCAGTTTCTTCTACCGCAATTAATAACCTAAGAAAAAATCCAAAAAAAAAAAAAAAAAAGGTAGATCTCAATTCTCAATTTTACTGTCAAAAAATTGTCAACGTATCTCTTCCCTTAACTGTTCAACCAGAAACTGCGCTACGGTTTACCCCACCCTGACGACCTCCTCCCCTTCCGCCTCCATTTTGGTTAGCCCGCTGATAACCATCCCCATTGCGTCCAGTCGAACCCCGAGC